CAGTCGGCAGAGAGCCATTGAAGGAGCAGTAAGATCTTGCCAATAATAGGAGACTAAGCTTTCCTCAGCACAGAGCATTATTTTCGCAAGCACGGGAATGCGACTTCCGTCTGCAACCATATACAGCTAGCGGGGAAAAAATGCTGATGCATGACGTACCCACATCGGCCTGGCAGTACTTTTTCAGGATCTGTATCCGACTCGGCGAGGTCTGGCAGGGTGAACAGGAAACTGTATAGGCGAAGGCGCAGAGACGAAGAATGAGGATTGGTTGGTTTAGCGGAGACGGGAGCGAGGAGAGAAAATGAAAAAGCAAATACCAATCAGGCATATTTCGAACTACATTTTAGATATTCGACATTTAATGAATGGGTTTTCGCAAATTTGGCAATAAAAGGCCACAATAATGATATTGATGTTGGAGAGGAAATTAGTCTTACCAGCGTTGGAGCTGCATCAGGGACAGTCCTATGTTTGCTGAGTAGAAGTTGAGGCTGAGGCTCTTAGCAGTCGAACAAATTGGGCGCAGGAATAGGTAATCCCCCTTTCCTCGCTGTACAGGTGGCCGTTTGCAATAGTCCAGAGTTCCTTATCTCTGTGGTCTTAATCTCCCTCCCGACCCCAGGAGATTTAGCGCAATATTACCTGTAAGTGCGCGGTATCCATTCTCGTGTCCTACCTTCAAAGTAACTCTTCTAACAAGAAGACGTTTAGTTCGCTTTATTTTTGAAACTGATTCTACAATTCGTATGAAAACTATGCTGCGTCTTCACCATGGAATTGTCTTGAAATACCTAAGGTTGTTTTTTTCAAATGAGGCATGCATAACTCGGTGTTCCGAACTAAATACCGCGCATAAAATTCTCAAAAGTACCTGGATGAGAGCACAGACAACCTAAATCGGGCAACACCCCGCAAGCAATGTCCATTAGCAAAAGCGGACACATTATAATGGCTTTTATTAGGAAAGCCTTAAAGTCGATTTATCATTATCAGTTCTTAAATTCCGCAGTTCTTAAATTGTTGTTCTTCGAAGTGGAGAAACAAATTACAAAAAGTCCATCAACGAACTTTCTTTTTTTTCTAGAAAACCTGCAACTATTAAACTTGCTTTTGTAACACACTTGTCCCCAACATCTGTACACGCTATTTCGACTGCCACAAACAAGATTTACGGTCTTCCGGTGTTAAGACAAGGCCCAGATTAGCGAACACACTATTCGAAAAAGTTAAAAACCATATCTGTGTTTGCCACACACTACTTAGTCCCTGCTAGATGTATGTCAGACTAAATTTGGAGATTAGTTCTCTGATTACGCCTGGACAGTTAGAGAGGCTGCGTTAAGGAGAAACCACTGCAGAACAATCTCCGGTAACAGTTTAGTGTAGCGCTCACCATGGAAACTAAATCCACAGAACTCTGTAATACGTGGCTGGTGATATTTGTAGTCTATTTTTATTTTTAATTTATTACTTTATTAATTTATTTTAATTCATTAAGTTTATTATTTTATTATTCCTAAGTTAGACCAAGATGTCATATCAGTTAACCACCTTGCAGATAACGATTCGTGGCGCGTCAAACTGATTATATAAACAAACGCAAAGAGTTGTCCTATGAATATTTTATTCACTGTTTACCTCACTTCGTTTCTCTCTGCCAGGCAACATCCAACTGACTGAATCTGTAAACCAAGTGATTCAAAGATTTTACGCAGTGGCCGACTCGGCACAAAAGTTTCCGTCCATGAATTGCCACACGCATGTACGGTAGTAATAAAGGTCTCGCTCAGATTCGGCACAGTCTGGATAAAATAAAGGAAATCAGGTAACTGCGCCTTATTTTTACTAATGTTTCGTGTACCTCCTAAGTAACATGACCAGATTGGTGACGTGACTATTCCTCATTGATGAATGTCCACCTAGACTAAACTACTAGCCTTTGTGCGGCTGCTGGCTAGCCTCGAGAATGAACCCCAAGACAGAACGGGACGAGTGAATTCCACTAGCGACCGAGGAACGTTAATTAACGAGTATCAATACCTCCCAGTCTAAACTGACATGACAACGCGTCCCTGGCTCAATGGTTAGAGCGTTAGACTTCCGATCAAAAGGTCGCGGGTTTGAGCCTCGTGTGGTGCACCACTTGGGGTTGGGTAGGACTGGCTGGTGACGGCTAATGAGCCAGAAGGGGCTATTGTCGGTAATGCTGTCTGCTTTGACTGTTCCTGTTAGCCTTGAGTTACCCAACCTCATCACCTGTCCCGTATCAAATCTTTGCCCGAAGTCAGACCTCTGACCTGTCTGTTCGCTAATGATTTGCTCCGGTCCCTCCGTGGCAGAAAATTACCGGATTCACGTGACCTCTGTCCTATTTGCGACCAGCACACTTGCCAAAAATGCAGTATCTGTTGACCCTCTCCCCGTAATTGGATGGACTAATCAGTTGGCGCAACGTGTGCGTAAAAAGCCTGGCTTTTTGGAGCGTCGGGGTTTAGATGTTTTCTGCCTGCCGTGTGACCCCTGGCTAGCCCTTTATCGATTTTGGAATGAGGGGTATCAGCTGTTGAAGCTGGTAGAATTTACCCACCTGTGCTGTCGGACCGAGCTTTAAGCCGAGGGCTTGATAGAGGAGATGTAAGTCCATTAATAAGTTACGAGTGCTAATCGGAGACCAACTTTCCATTAGCGCTTTGATCATTTTTTCACTGGATCTGCCGATGCTGCTCCACTCCTCAAAGACTCAACAATGACGTTCATGTATTCGTGCTTATCCTCCTGTATTTAGCACTAGGCCAGCAACTGATGATAATTGCAGTTAACTCCAAGGAAAGGTTGGTGTAATCATGTGCCGAGACGTTTTCATTCTTCCCGATATATATAGAACTGAAATGTCAGCAGGGTATGCTGTAGAATCCTGCTGGTTGATCCGTTGTCGGTATGATGGTAATTTCTGAGTTATCGGTTCCATGAATCACAACCACAGTTCAGAATGCTCGTTATCACCTTCAAACCGTTCTTCATGTACGAGGTCGAGAGTCAGATCTTCGGATTCCCACTGTTCAACGCCTCAGGGGTAGGCTTGTTCACGCGCTCACATAGTAAGGACCTTGCGTAGCTATTTGGCTGTTGAGAGGAATGTGCATATTTCCCTTCGTTTTTTATCCGGTCGAGCCCGGTTTGAGCCCGTATAAGCAGACTTCTGGCACAACGTCATTCGGCAGGGTATTTACATTCTAATTGTAGAATTAGTTTTTCTTTGCCTTACATTATTACCGTGGTTCTAAAATTCCCGTAAGTCATCCCCGTAACTTGCACATCCTTGTAGTTTATCTCTTCGTATGTGTACCATTCCATCGCTTAAGCACATATTGGGAGCAGGGAGGTTTTCCAGAAGCACGCTGCATATCCCATAGGCATCGTCAAATGACAAGCGTGATCTATGCAACCCATCAACTTCCGAAAAGCGCGTGAATATTCACACTAGTTCCTGTACAATATTTGGGGACCCGACGAACGACTCAAATTCTGTGAATCGTAGTGACCGCAGGGAGACTCATGCTGTACATCAGATTTACGAAGTGCTTCACACAAACCCTAGGGCCACTACACGACGACATGATGGGGCACGTCATGGATAATGAAATGCCTTGGATGTATTTGCAGTGACTGACTGGATAAAATAGGACTGAGTCCTGGTTCCCATTCTGACCAATTTCATGTTGCTACCATCCTGATGGATACATCCGATCCTGTTTTCCAGCGCCTTGCAGTAGCTAAAGCGTCGCATATCAGAATATATATCGTTTGTGTGAGAAGCCTGTGCCCCGGTATGACCTGCTGATAGGGAAACAGATCGCATGCGCTCGCGCTGACGTAAACGTGCAGGTCAGTCGTGTTTATTCGCCGCACTGACTCTCCTGACCTCATGTTTGGCAGGCTTGACTATCCGAGAGGTGCAGGACAGACGGAAGAGAGAATGAGGCCGACGTGGCTGACTGCATCCCC